TTAGTAACACAAATTCATACAGAATCTCTAGTTTCCTACTTTCTGTCCAATGCAGACATTATTCATGAAAAATAGACACAAATTTTTCAATAAATCTTTCAAAAAAAATAAAGCAAGAAAAGAATTAGTAGTTAAAACTGTTTAGTTTTTTTGCATTAAATTTTCTTTTCATAAAAAGGTGATTCAAAATATCCCTTTGATATTATTATTGAATTACAATGAAAATATAGCTAATGAAAAAATGACAAAATACTGCCAGTAACAGAAACTAGAAAAGAATGCCCAAAATTTAAGTATGAATTTAAATTTCTCTAAATCTACCATTTTATAAAATTTGGAGGAGGAAGGGAAGAGATTTTTGAAATCACAGAACTGAAGAAACTATAAAAATAAGCAGATTAAATTTGAAGTCTCATTTTTTTTTAGAAATACTCAAAAAATTAAAAGGCTTACTTACTGATTCCATGACTGCAGTCTGCAGGTAACTATTTCAAAACACCCTCAAGGCATTTTGTTTGTTAAAGTTCTCAGTTTTAATATATATTCGGGCAGAGTATAAAGAAACAATAAAATATTCCTGATCATAGTTGAGCTTTTTCATGGTAGAGCCTGCAGGTTTTATTTTATAGAATATAGGATATCATTGTTTTCCATTATTCACAGTTATAGGTAATTACACTTTTTCTGATTCATTACATCTTAGTATATCCTTCCTCTCATCTCTGAAACTTCACCTCAATAAATTCTTTTGAATATTACATCCGGTCTCTTAATGAGTGAACCTATTATATTCATTATTTTAATGATGACAATAACCATTATTGAAATTCATTCACATGACATATAATAGGAAGTACTGTTATCACATGAATTATTTTTATGATATAGTTATAGCAGCATCAATGCCCAATAGTTTCCTTTGCCATTGAAAATCTTACATGGAATTTTCCATTTGTCAACATTAATCAACAAAAGCTATTCATATTCCATTAAAGCACTAGTTTTTAGAAAGTTCATTTATTATCGCAAGATACATATAATAAAGCACATTATAAAGATACAAAAAATTATCACTGCAGATTTGTCCTTTACAAATATTTTTAAAATCATTTTCACATAATTACAAACACAAAATAGATGAAAACCATAATCTCACGTTTAAAAAACAAGCTAGTATAAAATAAGAAATAAATGAGAAATAAGAAACTGTAAAAGAAATATATCAAAGGTAGAAAAAACTGACTAACAAAATGTCTGGAAAATCAGGCTATCTGAAAACAGAAGTGACAGAATTTACCTAAGACAAGACTTAGAAACTTAAAAAAAAATTGTTTCAGAGACAAATAATTAAGTATATAGAATGTAAGAACAAATAAAAGTAGACATAGTTCAAATTTTAAATATTGAAATGGGAGAATTAAAACAAAAAAGTAAAAGGACAAGATTTAAAGATACATAAAGAAAGTCACCTGAGTTCAAAAACAAGACAAGACATCCATTCTCACTGCAGTTCTCAACACAGTGTTGCAAGTTCCAACCAGGGTGATTAGACAAAAATGAAACAAAAGGTGTTCATATTGGAAAAGAAAAAATTAAACCATCACTTACTATAAAAGGCATGATAATATACATGGAAAAATCCCAGAACTCCAGTTAAAAAAAAAAAACAGAAAATAATAAAGTGGTAAGCTAATAAATTAATATGCAAAAATTTGTTGTAACCCTATATGCAAATAATGAGCTACCAGAAAGAGAAGTCACAAATATTCCCATTCACAATCATATGAAAAATAATTAAATACCTTGGAATAAATTTAACCTAGGAGATTAAAGATTTAGACACTGAAAACTGAATGACATTAGTGAAGAAACAGAATATACAAAGAATGGAAAGATAGTCTATATTCATTGACAGAACAATTAACATTTAAAATTTTCCTTATCACCTAAAGCAACATACAGATTTAGTGCAATACTTAGAAAAAATCCAATGGCACAAACTTAAAACAAAAATCATAAAATTAATTTATAACTACAAAATATCTCAAAAAGTCATTAATTGGCCCTCCCTGGTGGCGCAGCGGGTTAAAGCACAGCACTGAGAATCTAAAGCCGCTCCCGCATGAGTTCGATTCCCGCCTGCCCCGGAGGTGACCACATGGCGTGGCAGACCTCTCCTGACCCGCCCGCTGCTCCCCTCAGCAGTGTACTTCGTCGATCTGCCTGTTCTGTTCCCCTCTCTGTCTCTGGGGAAGCCTCTCGCCACCCCTGAGCCTCTGGCCTGTACCCCAGTTCTGTATGCACAAATAAATAAATCTTAAAAAAAAAAAAAAAAGCAATAAAAAATCCAAGGGAAAAAAATAGCATATATGAAGACAACAGATTCCTGACTTCATACTATTCTATGAAGCAATACTAATCACAATAGTATGGTAGTGGAATAAAAAAAAAAAAATACAGATCAAAAGAATAGAATTCAGACCCAAGAAATAAAAACACACATATATGGACGACTAACATATGACAAAGATGTCAGTAGCATACAACAGAGAAAAGACTAACAAACAGTACTAGGAAAACTGGACAACTGTGTCCCAAAGAATGAAACCACCCTCTAACACCATGCACAAAAAACTCATAATTGTTTAAAGATTTATATAAAGATCTGAAACAATAAAAACACACAGAAGTAAACATATTCAATATGTTCCTCAATATCAACTGTAATTGATTTTTGGGTATTTGATTCCAGTGGCAAAGGAAACAAAAGCAAAATAAACAAATGAGACTGTTTCAACTAAAAAGCTTCTGCATGGTGAAGAAACTCTAGTTCAAACAAAAGGCATCTGGCTAATGAAGAAAATACTTGCAACTCACATATATGACAAGGAGTTAATAGCCAAAATATGTAAAGAATTCATAAAATTCAACAACAAAATCCCAATTTTAAAAATGGGCAGAGTATTTGAAAAGTCGCTTCTTCAAAGAAATTATACAGATGGCCAACAGGCATCATTTTTACTATTAAGGAAATAAAGATCAAAACAATAGTGAGGTATCATCTCACATGTGTGCTACCATCTTATACCATACCTATAAGAATCCAAAAGACAAGAAACAACTAGTGTCAGCATGGCTGTGGCAGAAGGGACCCTTGTACATTGTTGTTGGAATGTAAACTGATGTAACCATTAAGGAAAACAGTATGGAGATTCCTTAGAAATAATTAAAAATAGAAATTCCATAAGATCCAGTTTCTTTTTCTGAATATTCAACCAAAGAATATGAAAAAACTAATTTGAAGAGATATATGTATACAAACTCCCATGTTCATCGCACCATTTTACAATAACCAAGATTTAGAAACAACCTAAGTGCCCACTGACAGAAGACTGGATAAGAAGAGGTGGATGTGTGCTGTGTGATGATGTGTGTGTGTTTCTATACACATATATGTTACCTGTGTATATGCATATAAATATACACACACACATATACACACACGATGACATATTACCAAGCTATTAAAAAAAAAGATGAAATGTTGTCCTTCGCAACAACACAGTAGAACCAGAAAGTATTGTGATAAGTGAAATAAGTCACATGGAGAAAAACAATGTATGATTTCACTCATAAATGGTACTCAATGAAGCAAAAATAACTAAATAAAACAAAAATAAACTTTTAAACTCTAAGACTTACAACAGTGGTTACCAGAAGGGAAGTGGGTAGGTAGTTTAGGTAAAAGTGACCGACTGCAAGTGAAGAGCAGCATTAGACTTTTAGTAGTGAAGTTATTATTAACTTGTGTGTACAGATGCTGATTTACAATAAAGTAACCTTAAATAGCATTACAAACCAATGTTACTTCAAAAATAAATTCAAATACCACTTCTACATTCCAGATAAATTTCATCAAATCTACAGAATTCAAATCCATTTTACTATGACACCTTTTTTCAGAGCATGGGTTCAATCTAAATCAATTGATTTCACAGAAAAAGTTGACTTTATGTAGTCAAATATTAAACACTTTTCTTAAAGGAGTATTATGATATTGCAAATAGTAGATCCAATAAACATAGAAAAGCACTTGAGAGTACTGTTGATAGAAATTAGTTAAAATTTTAGTAACGGGACCTCTATGGTGAAACAGGGGGTTAAGTCTCAGCACTGTCACAGCTGCAGCCTGAGTCTGATTTGGCCAGGAAGCTAAAGTATATAGCTCAGCAGACCTCTCCTGTCTTGCCCGCTGCTTGCCTTAGCAGTATATTTCGGAAGAGCTGCATGTTTTGTTCCCTACTCTGGTGAATCCTCTCACTTCCCCCTACCCACACTTCTGGTCTGTACTCCAGTTCTTCTACGCAAAAATAAATATATCTAAAAAGAAATATATCTAAATATATACAGTTCCACGTGTCCTAAAATTGTAGAAACATGTTCTGGACTTTCCCACTCTGTGACTTGAGAGAAGTAGTAATTGTAGCAAATAATTACATCATATCAACTATGGGTCAAACTGGTCTCTTCACATTTATTATCTCTTTTAATAAATTAGTTATACTCCTTATGTTGAAGTACTACCTGATGAGCTGAATTGAGTAGATTGAAATTACAAAATACTAACCTCCTGGGATCCCACTGCTTTAATTTATGTACAGTACACACATCATGAAGCCCTTACATGTGAATGTCTAGGATATTTTATATCAATCTAATCACACCAACATAGTATATGGCAATTGGGATCACTCTGTTATGAAATATAGTGAAATCACCCCCAAAAAATGTTCATAAGATATTGCTAATAACACAGCCTCAACTGTGTATTGATATAATGAGAATATTTGGACTACGTCCAAAATTCAAAAGTATGTCCTGAATTGAAACCTGTTCACAGGCTATTCGGGGGGGGGGGGGGGGACAAATATTGCTAAGACTGCACTGCCCCCTAGGGAAAAGACTAGCATGTTTCACAGAAGTTCATTTGCCTTTTCCAGATCAGTATTTTCATGACCCATTTGTCCAACTATGGAAATGACCGGCTGGGATTATACACATTTGTTAACTTGGCTAACTTCGTCCAAAGCTGGACCAATTTGCGTCTTCACACTCTGCCTCCAGTGCAACTGGCTCACAAGTACTTTGAGCTCTTTCCTGATCAAAAAGACCCTCTCTGGCAGGTAAGATTCATTTGCTAATTGGTAGCAAATTAACCCCACAGGCATATTTTATAGAGCCATAAAATAATCCAAACCTGGAAAGTGGTGGGAATATATGCATTTTGGAAATGTTTGTAGATTTAAAAAACTACTACTTCCTAAATTTAAGTTGTATATTCATATAAAAAAGGTTAAAATTCTGGAAGTTCCATGGTGTGGGGGTGGGGGGTTAGTAGAGGTAATATTTTCAGTCAGAAGTAAGGGATCAATATGCAAACTGCAAGGGACTAAAGAGCAGAAAATGGCAAACAAAGTGTGTGCTGGACAGGAAGTCAACTGACCAGCTGAGCACATCCCCATAGCTAAACACTAAAAGGCATTAGAGGAACAGGTAAGAAGAGTTTACTAATGAACATCTGCTTCTGGACCACTGGGTACACCAGCAATCACAAAATAGGGGCAACTTTCAAAACTATTCCCTGCATATTACTTTTAGCATGGGGAAAGCATTTTGTGAAAATGTCATTGAGTTTAAGGGCATATGTCCCATAAAAATGGTATAGGTAAACTGTTCTAGACACAAGCCAAATTTTAAAGCATACAGTTCCACGTGTCCTAAAATTGTAGAACCATGTTCTGGACTTGAATTTCCCACTCTGTGACTTGAGAGAAGTAGTAATTGTAGCAAAAAATTACATCATATCGGCCCTCCCTGGTGGTGCAGCAGGTTAAAGCACAGCACTGAGAAGCTGAAGCCACTTCCGCATGAGTTCGATTCCCGCTGGCCCCGGAGGTGACCACATGGTGTGGCAGACCTCTCCTGACCAGCCCGCTGCTCCCCTCAGCAGTGTACTTCGTAGATCTGCCTGTTCTGCTACCCACTCTGTCTCTGGTGAAGCCTCTCGCTGCCCCTGAGCCTCTGGCCTGTACCCCAGTTCTGTATGAACAAATAAATAAATCTTAAAAAAAAAATTACATCATATCAACTATGGGTCAAACTGGTCTCTTCACATTTATTATCTCTTTTAATACTCAAGAACTACCCAACATAGAGCTACAGTTATTATCCCCATTTTACAGATGAAAAAACTGTGGCATAGAAGGTTGATATGCTTAGGCATATCACACACTAGCTGGAGAATTAGAGCAAACTGAGCAACAAAAACAATCTTCAGATGTAAAACTACTATACCAATCGAAGATGGACTATGACCTAATCTCTATGTTTGATTCATTCAGCTTTGAACTTGAACTAATTATTGCCTTAGCTTAAACAGATAACCCCAAAATAGATATAACTCTACTTTTTAGTAGGTTAAAGTCAGTAGTTATAGAGTAACTGCATGTTATCTTGTAGTTGTTATAACACACTTTTTTTAATCTTAACAACTACAAAACATCACCAACTGTTAGCCACTGAAAGACATGCAATTTTCCTGCTAATTTAACATCTTATTTTTAAACTGAAATTATTATTATTTCAGGTGACAAGTTGAAACCAATTTTATTCCAGAACAGGAGCAAAAAAAATATAAAAAGCCCTTACTTTAGTCTTAACATCTGTTGCTTACTGAAAATAAGCAGAAGGTTGATTTAACTACACATAGCGATAGTATTAATTGGATAGAAATAAAGTGCTGTACTGTCTGCCCATTCCTGAAACAGTATTTAAGGGTACTGCTAATCTTCCCATTAGATGCACTTTGCAGTGGGTGCTGGCTTAAGTACCACAAACCAAAATCAGACACAAAGGTAGTAATCCACCCACATTTTACCATTTGTTTAGTACCTTTTAGCATCAGTCTGTACCAATATATATTTAGATATATATTCACTGACCTTGAAGGCACGTCAGTGCATTCTTTTAAAAAAAAAAGAGTGTTAGAGAGAAAGCACACCTCACAGCTTTCTTCCCTAGGTATCTTTTAATAACAGGTTGAAAAACTGTAGCACACAAAGGACGCACACACAAAAAAATACATCTCTATATTATTCTTCCATTTAGAATCCTTGTGATGACAAACGCCACAGAGACATTTGGTCTAAAGAAAAAACCTGTGATCGCTTACCAAAATTTTTGGTAATAGGACCCCAAAAAACTGGTAAGAAATTTATTATAATTAATGTAAGAGTGTAAAAATCCTGATAACTAGACAATAAACTCTGTCACAAAAAAATCTTTAACTTGGTGTAAATGCTGAATGAATAATATACTTTCAGTCAACTATATCTAACATTGTGTTTAAGGAATACAATATGTAATATTGAGGCATTTACATATCCTATGTGATGGATCTGTAGCTGTAATTATTACATTATATAATTATAGTACAATGCTGTCTATATTCACTCCCCTGTGCACAGATCACTATGGCTTACTTTCTACTTACTGAAAGTTTGTAGCATTAACTAACATCCATCTTAGCTTCCTACCTCCCACACCCTGGTAAATATCATTTTATTTAATGTTTTTTTTTTTCAATTTTGACTTTGTTTAGATTCCCCTCACAAGTGAGATCATATAGTGCTTGTCTTCCTCTGTCTGACATCTCATTTAGCATACTGTGCTTAAGGTCCATCCATGCTGTCATAAATGGTAGGCTATCCTCCTTTCTTATGGCTGGATAACATTCTGTTCCATACATATATTACATCTCTTTTTTATGAATTAACTTGCTGACGGACAACTACGTTATTTCTGTATCTTGGGTCTGTGAATAATGCCACAGTAAACATAGGAATGCACATCTCTGTTCAGAATACAGCTTTCTTTTCCTTTGGGCTCATTCCTAGTAGTAATAGGTATGTGGATGCTGAGTCCCATGGTAGATTTATTTTGAATTTTTGTGGAATCTTCGTGTTGTTTTATATAGTGGTTAGGGAAATTCACACTCCTACCAACTGTGTGAGTTTTCTCTTTACACCACATCCTGGCCAGAACCCATTCTCTATCATATGCCTTTGTGATAAAAGTCTAACACATTTTATTGTCTGACATCATCTTTAGTTAATATCAAAATGTGTTTAAATGGTTTTGTTTGGTTTAGTTAAGTGAAAATAGATGTCACATGGCTTAAATATCCAAACATAAATTTGGTGACAATGTTTTTTCCCAAAGATCTTGACTGAAAAGTTTTATTATAATATCTAAACTCAAAACCAATCACATGGTTAGAACGACTAACAAGGGGCAAGAGGAACACATATAAGTACCTGTATGTCTCTGTCATAAATCCTTTCCAGAAAAAAATAGCCTCTTCCTGTTATAATTTATTTCTAGACTCTTCCTTGCAGAATGCCTATTTTCAAAGTCTAAAGGTATTAGACAAGCAGAATTCCTAGACATAAACAAAATGATATGCTAAGAAAGGTATTTATTTATACCCAGGAGAAATCTTTTGCACATTTCCTTAAACTGATGTACAGTTTTCTCCATAAACTTCTCGTTTCTCTAAGAATTAGAATTAAAATGAAGCCCAGTGGAAGCTTTAAAATACCTCACTTTCATACTGCTTCACGCATGATAAATTATTTGGGACTCTGGTTCTGGCTTCACAGAAGACAGCAAATGCAGCAGATATCCCTTCAAGGAAGATACATTCCATCCCTTCCTAACTAGGAGAACTGCATGGAATGCATCCATGTTTAGTTTACTCATTTTTCCTTAGTCCAATTTGCAAATGTCAATCCGAAAACAATAATGAACATGAATACTTTTCCTTCTGTGTTCCACTTGTCTTTATCTACATAAAACAGAGGCAACAAGAAAGATACTTAAATTAGTCTGTTCCATGGACTCCCACTGTTATCACATAGTCTTGTCGTTACTGATCACATCTTTTTGCTGATGGTTGGTCTATCTAGTTTGCTTCAGAAAGCCCTGCAGGATATGCTTTCCCTTGTGCTCTGCTAGATATGCAGGCATTTTAATATCATGGTTAGATGGCAAAATTACTACATGACATCTTAAACTCAACTGGGTTTCCAAATGTTTATGTTACAATTTGTAGATGACATTTCCCTTTGGAAGGGAACATTTTTAGTTACTCTTAGGAAGGGAATCCCCCCCTTCCCAGTTTTAAAGAGTTATAATTTACATGCAGTAAGATTCACCCAATTTAAATGTACAGTTAAATGAGTTTTGAAAATTATGCATAGTTGTGTCTCCACCACCACCATATTCAAGATGTAGAACACTGTTAGCTCCCTAAAAAAGTTCTCCACATTCCTTTATAGTCTTCTCCCCTTCTCCCTTCCTCGACCAAAGACAACCACTTTCTGCCACTATAGTTTTGCCTTTTCTAAAATGTCATATAAAAGGAAGCATGAAGTGTGAAATCTTTTCTCTTTAACTTCTTTAGTTTAGCATAATACTTTTGCTACTTATCCATGTTGCATATATTGATATTTGGTGAAATTGTTTTTTAAATGGGCAAAAATGTCTTTTTATATCAGTTCCATAAAAATGAAATAGCTTCGTGCTCGCTTCGGCAGCACATATACTAAAATTGGAACGATACAGAGAAGATTAGCATGGCCCCTGCGCAAGGATGACACGCAAATTCGTGAAGCGTTCCATATTTTTCAATG